ATTTACACAGCATAGCCTAACTTCTTTGATGCTCGCGCGGGTATCGGGTTTGAAACGACAAGCAATGACGCAAGCATACAAGCCCTTTCGAGAAAAAAAGAGTGGAATATTAAGCCTTAAACTTCAGATTGCCCATCACAGTACCGATGCCACTAAAATCACTTTGGTGGGAGCATCGTTTGGAGGGACAATGGCTGCGGAGATTTCTAACTACCTGAATGTGCCCTGCGATGTGATCGCCATAGACAGCGGAAATAGTTACGATACGTTAAAAGAGTATTCACTACAAAATCACGTGAAGGTATTTTTCCAAGGGAAATTTAATTTCAATTAATTCAATCAATTCGTTAATTTCAATAGTATCTCTTTCCATTAAAAAAAAACATGTTTCTGGTTAGTTTAATTGCTATTGGACTCAATGTCGCTTCCAAACCGTCTAAATGTCAGCTTTTAAGATAGTGTAGTTTTGTTATGTTACTACCGCTTGTCTATATTAGTGGCAAATGTTTTCAAGAAAATGTAGTCGATTCGGCCATTCGAATCTCGTTAGTTGAGCCGCTTAAGAACTGTGATTTAACATTTCATAGCTGTGACTGCGGTATGATTTCAGAACTTGAATAACGCACTGCCATCTAATGAAATTGACGAAGAAACGCGGTTTTGGATGCAGGTGAACTCATGGGATTTGCTACAAATGCTCAGCGATTACAATCCCAGGATCTACACCAATATACAAAACTTCCACATTTTTTCAGTGGATGGATCGGACCTTGGATGGGGGAGGTAAGATATCCAATTTCGAGAATTCTTGTTTTCTTATTGCGTTTTTAAAGATTTGCAACCATTACTTCAACAAGGACGATTGGTGGAGCACATGCCGATATGTTATCAATGAAGTACAGCGCACATCTTGCTACTGAAATTGTTGATGTTCTGAAGTGCAGTTGACAGATAATAGAAGATATTATCCAACCACAATTAGAAAAAAATGTCATACTAAAATTATTCTAAAGTCGTTACAGTATGTGTGGATTTAGACTGGATGCTTGAAGCGCTTTTCGGTAGTTTGTAGCAATGTAGGATCTCAATCGTTCTTTTTTACTCAGTTGACTGTGCAGCTTACGGGATTTCTAATAATTGTTTGAGTGAAGCCTAAAATGAAGTTTATTTCCATAGCAGACAGAGAAAAAGAAAATATCAGGACTGTACATTCTACAGCGCTTACTCCATTTATGGGAGGTTACGAAGTAGCCATGACTTCCACAATAATTAGCGCCTAGCTGAAGAAGTTGAAACATGGTTGTATGTAAAAACACTGAGGGTTTTCTAGGCGCGGAGTTGAAAATCTGGCACGATCTCGACAACTGACAAAATGGATAACTGCTAAATGTGTGAGAATCCAAAGTTCCCATAAGGGAACTTTCTCATCACAACGGATAAACTCACCACTACCCAGCTCTTGCGTCCGTGTTCTTCGTCTTACTCTACCACAGAGTGATAATTTGGAAATTGATGGCCGCAC